TATTAGCTTTACTCCACTGACTTCAAAGGATTTGCTCCAAATTTACACCAGTGTAGAACCAAGCTTCCAGATGTATTGGATTCAATACAAAATTTGAAAGAAAGCATTTCCCAGCTGTTTGTCTGAATGATTCAGAGAACGAATGAGCATACAAAGGTGATCCAAATCACCAGGACCCACACCATAAAAGCAAATTTATGTTTCCTGGTTCTCTCCCTGCTGGTCAGGAACAGAACAAGGAGGTAGTTAATTTTCTGAGCTGCACTGGTCTCAGAAAGTCTGGGATCTAAGCATCTACTATGAAATTTACTGTAAACTTTTCTACTCCTTCCTGGAGTCATAGCACAAATCAATGCCTCTGCTAGTATTTGCAAATGAGGCAAAGGCAATGGAGCACTTTAAGGCACCTTTGTCTCTATCAAGGAAGTTATTGAATTGATAAGGCCAACAATCAAAGACAACCCTTTTTGTCAATATTAAAATGAGATAACCTTCTCATGCATGGCCTGCTGGTGCACAATAGAAACGCTGTACTTCACTTTCAATTTCCAAGAAAGTCATCTTCTCACAGAGACTTATTCTGTAGTTCTCAACTATACTCCTTTTTCACAGGCAAAATCTCAGCCAGAAGGGTGAAAACATGAAAACCAGACCAAACAAAAATGAAGTGTGATTTAGGATCTCCATAGAGTCTGGAGAGGTGATGAAGGGGATGTCGCTCCTCTGTTTTCTTCTCAATCTAAAACAAGAGCAGGAGTAGCACAAATGCTAGGTACAGTTTCATGATTAATTTTACCCATAGCTGTAAACTGCCTTTCAGTGAATCTTTAGAGTCAATTTCTACTACCCACATTATTTTGACCAAAAATATCAATTACCAGTGAAGCAGTGTTTCCTTTAAAATGTCATTATTAGGTTTCATAGTTACCATTTCATTGAGATGAATGAGATCTATTTATATTTTTCTCTGAGCTATTTTTTCAGGCTTTTTGCAAATCAAGTACACCTCTACCCCGATATAATGCGACCCGATATAACACGAATTCGGATATAATGCAATAAAGCAGCGCTACAGGGGGGCGGGGCTGTGCGCTCCGGTGGATCAAAGCAAGTTCGATATAACGCGGTTTCACCTATAATGCGGTAAGATTTTTTGGCTCCTGAGGACAGCGTTATATCGGGGTAGAGGTGTAGATATCACTGAATTGTTTTACATACATTTGGAAGGTTACTTCTTTAAATTGTCATGCTCCACCTTACCAAAGTCTGAGTTCATATTTGGACTCTTTCCTTCTCCCTTTGGAGAGAGCCCAGCATCCTCCTCTTCCCTCTGCCTTCTAGCTCTCCATAGGCCTCTCATCTATCCTCAGAGACCTGATTTAGGCACGTGATCCACCTGTCACGTGATATTACCATACTTACTCTCTCCACCTGGGGAGTGAGCTGGGGAGTATTGTAAGCAAGACACAAGAGGTAACTCTTCCACTCTACTCCGTTCTGATTAGATACTCTAAATCTGAAATGAAGAACAAAGTACTAAATAAAACTGAATGGCATGAGTAAGTTAAAATAAGCAAATTCCTTAAAAAGCTGAACATAGTGTAATAAAAACATATAAACTAATGCACTCAGTGGGCGATCAGGGTTTTTTGTAATATGGCATGAATGGTATCATGACTCTTCTGATCTGCAGCATTATAAGTGGCCCCAGCTCAAAATCACACGCTACAGCTAACTATCCACCAAATAGGCCCTGAGATAACGTAGCACATGGCCCAGATGTCAGGATGCTAAAATATGACTAGTATTGTTTCAATTTAACACTGTGTCTATAATAGCCATACCGAAGTACTGGATTAAAGAAAACCAGATATCGACAATCAAGAGGCAAAAATGTAAATAATAAATCTATCTAAATAGAAAATAAATACTTAAAGTGCGGTTCTACTATAAAAAGTGACTATAAAAAATCACATGGGCCATAGTTTCAATTGTTTGATTTCTAGATAGATTCTGAGCAGTTTACAAGTACAATATATTTTTTTCTAACTGATAGCACCCCAGGCTTAGTCAGTAATCTGAATTTCAAATAGGGTTCTTTCTTGTCCGTTTATTGCCAGCTATGAAGATTCTGCAATCAGAACTTAGTCAACAATTTTCTTAATGTACAAGATAGAAAAAAGTCATTGCTGTATACCTACTGCAGATTTTGAAGATCTGTTCAGCAAGTTCATATAATGTCAGTAACAATCACAAATGTTCCAAGCCTCCTTCCTCTTACTACTAAACGTTCAACTTTAAGTCTAGGTGTTGAGGAGAATAGAATAGAATAAACTTCTACTGCATCCAAAACTTCTGCAGTCATTCCGACTCAATGGAGGGATTTTCAGTCAATAAAAATTCTACTATATAATATACAAATACTGAATAAGTCACTATTAAGAACACAGGTCAATTAAACAGGAAAATGGCCATAAAAGTAATCAATAGAAATTTGGTTCACTGACGTATTAGATGATTCATAAAGTACAAATCTAGTTGCTCAAGTCTGACAACATTTTTGTTTTATATCATACTTTAGCATTCCAAGATGGAATGCTCCTAGCATACCTTAATGAAACAAGCAGACCAATTAGACATCTTTATTATGTATATTTAGAGGATTATATTCAAAACTAAAGTATGAGATAGCTAACAATCTAGGGTCCAGAATCCTTGCTCTCACGAGAAATCCTTCTTTACCTAATTAGGTTCATTGATGTCAATGGGATTATTTGCATGAAGAAGGTTTACATACATGGGTAATGACTGCAGAATCAGCTCTGGGATAAATGGGCATTAGCTTTGCATTAGGAACACATAAATCTTTCCCACTTGTGTAAGTCTCAACAAGCGCAAGATCCCCATCTTTAAGAACATCTTTCTTCTAATTTACTATGTAATCTCTTGGTCATTAATGAAAACCCCAACTCCATCATGAGCAGGTTTTCCATGTTCAGCTGCTGAAAAGATCCAGATTCCTTTAAAAAAAAATTACCTTGAGGAAAATCGAAATAAATATTACTTGCTTTTCTATATTGAACTGTTCGGTCTAAACCTAATGAAATCCTGGCTTCAGTGAAATTAATGGCAAAACTCCCATTGATTTAAATGGGACATGGATTTCACCCATAAGCACCATTTTAACACTTGTGTCCATCTCCTTCCACAGCTGTTTAGCTGTTGGACATTCCCATAGCATGTGTCTCAAGGTCCCTTTTTCTTTATTACAGCACCAACAAACATCAGAGGATAAGGCCTATATCTTTTGCAACCTTTGTGGCATTCAGTACATTTTGAATCAAATTTTCTGACAAGTGGAGCCTGAGATCCACAAAGATATTTTTAACATTATGTAATATGCGCTGCCATTGGGATTCTTTTAAGGACTGATAAATCCCTTTCCCTTGCTTTCACAAAGAATTCCAGACTAATGGAGTTCCTCTTCAGTAACAAAGTGTACTTAGGGCTTGTCCACACTACCCGCCCAATTCGGCGGGTAGAGATTGATCTTCTGGGATCGATTTATCGCGTTTCATCTGGACGCGATAGATCGATCCCAGAAGCGCTCCCCCGTCGACTGCGGAACTCCTGCTCGCCGAGAGGAGGAAGCGCTGTCGACGGGGGAGCCTGCCTGCGCCGCGTGGACCCGCAGTAAGTAAATTTAGTTCGATCTAGGAAACGTCGACTTCAGCTACGCTATTCTCGTAGCTGAAGTTGCGTTTCCTAGATCGATCCCCCGCCCCAGTGTGGACCTGCCCTTAGTGGACATGAGTCTGGGGAATTTATGAAGCATTTTTAAAGTTACTAGCAAGCAATTCTGGGGCCTCTGACAGTCCTAGCATGTCTGGACCAAACTATTATGTTTGCCAGTGTTTTAACTGTAAATACCGCCGCTCTGTTGATGGTGGCAGGTCATAGTGCTGCTTTATCGTGAGAAATGGGACAAAGCCCTCATTGTGGACTAATTGGAAAATCCTGCTCGGTCAGTCCTGCTCAGTCAGTTCTTCCAAATTATAGATTTGTTCCCTATTTGCAAGGCTGGGTTGCTCCATATAGGTGTTTTTACATGATGGAGAGGATGAAATTGGTATCTCTTAACTAGGATAACCCAGACCTTTCATGCAGCCACCACTGTAGGTATCTTATTTTTCTCCACTGGACAAAAAGAGGAACCAAGGAGACCCAGAGGGGGAATTGGGTGCATTAAAAGACATTCATTTTTGAACCCATGTAGTCATAAGGGCATTAGCATGCTGAAAACAGTTTAACAGCTGTGTCATGATAAAATCAAAAAGAGAAGCTATTTCTAATGAGCGGTATTAGATTGGCACCACTAAAAACTGAAGTCCCATGTTTATCCACAGAACAAGCACATCACAGTCAGTTGTGCTAATGAGCCTCAACTCTGATCTAGAATGAGGCAATAATTAGTTCTTTCTCCAGGCCCATTTATTCTTGGTTTTCTTTGCTGAGACTTTCAACAACTCAAATTCACATAGACTATCAAACAACTAATAGATTGTAACAACTTTCAAGCTGAGTTGGAACTCAGTTCTATAAATTTACACTCATGAGTAACTTAACCCACATGAACAGTGCTATTGGCCTTTAATGTTACTCATATGTGCTTGCAGGATTGGTCCTTAGTGTAGATTTAGGCCAGTGACCAACAGAAGTCACTACAACTTTCCACAGCCATTCAGTCTCCCTTGAAATAGATCAAAATATAAAGAAAACTGACCAGAAGATTTTCAGGATTAAACTGATATTGTCTCAACGTGGAATCTCTGCTTCTACATTTCTTCTTTTATTTTAGTTTCTTCTACATCTTTTGCAGTCTAACTGTTGTCTCATTCAATGCAATTCTGAGATTTTCCTGTCACTTCTATCAGAGGACTGTTTGGTTATTTCTCTTTCACTAAAATACTCTTTCTGGGCACTGGAGCTAAGGCGTAAAAATGAGAGACCACTGTGTTGCACTGCTCTTCAGAACCTTCATCCAGTTGTCGAATGAAGTGGAAGAACGACAAGACAAACTTCCAGGTCTGCATTTGGCTTGAACTTTGTCTTCCAGTTCTAAGACTACGGGAACATTTATAATTACTGCCTCCTAAATCAGCTTTGTTGAGAGGATTTCAAAAGTGTGTATGAAACTGATATCACTGCTGTTCCCTGAGGTTCAAGTGTGAAGGTAGGATTCTGGTTATAAATTGGTAATGCAAAGGCACAAGAACAGTATCAGGACTCTAGAAAAGAAGTCACTAGAATAGAGACTTGCCTTTGTACAATTGTTATTTTCTTTCCTCTGTTCCTACAATTAAAAGAGGGAGAAGAATATAAAGCTAAATCTTTTTATAAGGATATTTCTTATCAATACTGCATCATCTTATTGTACCTTTCTGTAAACTGAATAGCTAAGTGCAGAAAAACAAACCAAAAACTTTATGAAAAACTGCCATTTCGCCCACACAGTGCAGTAGCTCCGCTTGCCCTTGAAGAGCATGCCAGAGCAGTACAATGCCTTTACTTACTATAATAAATGCTAATATTTGAATAGAATTGATAAAGAACTCCATGGGGACCCCGTTAACACTCACAACCACACCTAAAAATTCAATACATTTCTCAAACTGTTTAATTATGTACAGCATTTTTCTGTGACACTCTTCAGTTTCTGGCTTCCTTTATCTACATTTGTCAGATTACATTTACACTTGGAGAGCACTTTTAGGATAAGGCCAGGGGGCTAGTGCTTTACACTAATGGGTATACTTGCAAGGCATTGTGGGAAGAAAAACTAATATACACGCTTCACAAATAATTGGAGTTCTGTCCAACCAGCATGCCCTGTTTCTGTGCACAAGTACCATGCACCACCATGTATCCTTACCATCCATTAGCGATGGAGAAAGAGGTTTTATTGTAATGAGCCCTGAATCGACCCTTCTTGCATCTCTTTATTTTTAAGGTTTGTAAAAGTTCAGTTAAGGACCTACCGCTGGAATGGAGGAAGTCCCAACATGGTGTTAGTGCCTCCCACTATCTCCAGGACCCTACATTCTGGCCCTGCTGACCACCTGCAATCCTCAAGCTTCCTCTATGAAACGCCCAAGCCTTTAGCATTCCTAAATTGTGCATTGGTGCCCAGTGCCCCAGCAGTCCCTGTGTGTGGCCCCAAGTATTGCTTAATCAATCTTCTGTACTCGAAGAGTCCCCACTGTATTGTCCCAGGAATCTGTATAATCGCCACAAGCAGAGATTGAAAGAGAGGCTTCTGAAATTACTCTGCCATAGTGATAGGAGGTGGGAAGGACAGTGGCTGCCCAGGATGAATGAAAAGATGGCCCTGGGTCTTTTCCCTTCGTACCACAAACAGGTGCTACTGAGAATCAGAAAGGAAGGCTTCCTCCTTCAGAAGAAACTGTCAGGAGAGGAAAGTACTGTAGTTTCCTCACAGGTAGGAAATTTCCTCACAGCAGAGAAGGAGGTGTTCAATCTTGACCCCTTTGGAAATAGATTACTATATACAGGATTTTAAAAACTGTGGATTAGAATAATGTTTAGCAAACTAGCCCAGCTTTTAGATACTTCTTTACACTCTACAGAACCTCCAAAACTGTTGAGGATTGCCCATCACTAACAAGCCCTTCTGGGTATCTGTGCATACACAACCTACTGCCCTTTCATAGTCCTATAACAATTTACCCATGTACCTACAAATACAATGCACTTCTGTGTGCTTATGAATATTTACCAATTACCTCTAAGGACCCGCTCTTGCTCTTCAATATGCACGTGTGTATCCTGCCATCGCAGCACCTGTGTTTACAAAATAGACAAGAGTACATGCGTTTACTCATCTGCATATGTGTTCCGCTATCATGGAGGCATCCAGATAGCATGGTGGCAATGGTGGGATAGAGAGATACTAGAGGTGGTAAAAAACTGTTAATTGACACATTTTTAATGAAAAAATGTTTTTTCAACAACAATGAAAATTTTCTCAGAAAATTTTTGTTTGGGTCAAAAATTGCCATTTTCTGGTGAAAAAAAAAATAAAACATTTTCATTTTTAATTCCCCCCACTTCCTTTTTCCTCTTTCTTCCACTGGAGAGAAATGGGGGAAATAAAAACTGAAAATATTTCATTTTTTGTTTGGTCTGTAAATAAATTTGAACAAAATGAAAATTTTTAGTTTCTTTTCAATTTTTTTTACAGAAAATATATATGGACCAGCTTAGACAGGCAGACAGACAGTGCAGTTACTGTGGGAGACAGCCAGAAGGCTGCCTTCTGAGGACCTCCTCGCAAGCCCTAGCATAGGGGACATGTTGAGGGTAGACCTGCAGCATGCAGTCTGGCAGATAGTCTGGGCAGTACTATGAACTTGTGGAACAAGTCAATCAATAGGATTTAAGGTGGAATAGGCACTTACAGAATGATGCTTCTTTGTCTCCCTATTTCTTTCCTCTTCATTTTAAAATAGCTGCTACCCACTAGCATTTGGCTTCTTATGTTTTCCTACCAACACAGCAAGAAGGAGGGACTTCTATTAACATCTTCTTTTTGAACAAGATGCTTTCATTTTGCTTATCAAAATCCCCTGAAAAAAATCTCTCAGTTTTGACCCTTTATTAGGTTCCATGTATGCTCTCACACAGAGCACCAGCTCTATAGCTAGGCTCTGAGAAGAAGACAAATAGCTGTGGTGACAGATGGCAGCAATATGGTATATCACTATTTGGGGGGAATATATAATTAGTAGGGCTGTCAAGCGATTAAAATAATTAATCACAATTGATCGCGCGATTAATTGCACTGTTAAACAATAATAGAATACCATTTATTTAAATATTTTTGGCTGTTTTCTACATTTTCAAATATATTGATTTCAGTTACAACACAGAATACAAAGTGTACAATCAGGGCCGGCACTTCCACTAGGTGACCCTAGGCGGTCGCCTAGGGCGGCAGGATTTGGGGGGCGGCATTTTGCCGTCCTCGGCGGAAATTCGGCGGCGGGTCCTTCACTCGCTCCAGGACCCGCCGCCGAAGTGCCCCAAAGACGTGGAGCAGAAGGACCCCCGCCGCCGAATGCTCAGAGGAGGAGCGCTGCCGCCTAGGGCAGCAAAAACCCTGGGGCCGCTCCTGTGTACAATGCTCACTTTATATTTATTTTTTATTACCAGTATTTGCACTGTAAAAAAAGAAATAGTATTTTTCAATTCACCTCATACAAATACTGAAGTAGGACTCAGTGGACTTGTAGGCTCTAAAGTTTTACATTATTTTGTTTTTGAGAGCAGTTATGTAACAAAAAAAATATACAGCTGTAAGTTGCACTTTCACGACACAGAGATTGCACTATAGTACTTGTGTGAGGTGAATTGAAAAATACTATTTCTTTTATCATTTTTATAGTGCAAATAGTTTAATAAAAAATATACACTTTGATTTCAATTACAATATATATGAAAATATAGAAAAACATCCAAAATATTTAATACATTTCAATTGGTATTCTATGTTTAACAGTGAAATTAAAGTTGCGATTAATAGCGATTAATTTTCTTAATTGTGATTCATTTCTTTGAGTGAATTGCATGAGTTAACTGAGATTAATCAACAGCCCAGATAGATAGATAGACAGAATGAATTTTGGATGAGATTTTGTTTATTTTATCAGTATTTATCAGACTTATTTAACATATTATAGGAGAGGGCTGGAGGAGGAGGGAAGACAGGAATGGATTAAACAAAAGAAAAAACCAAGGTAGGGGGAGCATTACAGGGCAAAAAGTAAAAGGCATTGGGGAGGAAAGAAGGGAAAGAGAAGTGTGACGGGTGGTAGTCTGGTGCCTCATGCCCTGGGTATCCCCAGGAAAGCATCACAGGAAGAATGCAGAGAAGCATGGAAGGCAGGTGGAGTGAGGCTGAAGTGAAGAGAATGTGAGGGAGGGGGTTGGAGCAAGCAACCAATCAGCAGAGAGGAAAGTCATGTTTTTTGCATGCAAGATTTTTGGGAGTGACAGAGGTTATGTCTACACTGCAATCTGAGGTGTGTGCGCAGCTTGGGTAGACATACCCATGCTAGCTTTACCTGCACTAGCATGCACAAAAAGGCCATGTTAGTAATGCAAATAGGTGCTGAGGGTCCCCGGCATGCTTGTACATCCTGAGCTGAAGCCCATGCCACTGCATATATTCTGCTATTTTAGCCAAGCCAGTGAGGGTACAGCTAGCGTGGGTATGTCTACCTGAGCTGCAATCTCACCGCAGACTGTAGTGTAGATATACCCTAAGAGAAATCTGGAACTGGACCTGCAGGAAAGGAAAGGTGCAAGTAATGTATGGGCTAAAACAATGCAGATTCAACTAGGAATGTTTTAATAAGGAGGGGAAAAAACTCATTCCAGTTTGTAGTGCACTTAGACACAAGTGCAGGGTTACCTTGGGAATTTATAGTAATCTCACATTATTGTGCTAATACCAAGATCCACTTGACCAGGTTAGTGCCAGTAATAAAATTTCAAATCTTTCCCAGTAGTCTAAAAAAAGTAATAGTGTTATTACGAGAGTGTGGGTGTATTTAAAATGCAAAGTTTTCAAAAATGTAGACTGTTTACTAAGCCTGAGTAAATGGTATTTCCCGGTTTAGGGACATTAGGACTGGTCTATGGCCAAATTCCTTCCTAAAGTAAAATAACAATGTGATGTAAAAGATTTTATAGTCACTACATCTAGTTACAGTATTTGTAAAGCTTAAAATAAAATAAAAAATAATAATTAGTGATCAAAGAGGAAGCTGCTATCTTGACATTCTGATGATAATATTTTATATTCTGGTAGCACTCCCCGCTAAGGATCTCAAAGAACTTTACAGACATTAGAGCTTGCAGTCTAATGGGGAAAAATATTTATGTGTGGGATGGGACTTCCAATTTTAGGTATTATGGTGGTTTGGGTTTGAATCCCATCAGTTTTATACAGCCATTGACAGATAACAGAATGGATTAATGGCACCATATTTGACAAAGATATG